AATTTAGATACTTTTTTATACGTATTATATTTATAGATACCTAATTAAGAGTGCTACCAATGGATAGATTCTCTACGATTCTTGTCACACTCGGTAATTCTGCTAATCACATTCACTAAATATATATTAATTTGTATACAGTTGTAAATAATAATAAAAATAATATTGTTTCTGCAACTAAAAATGAAATGGAAATGAGGTTTAATTATCCTGTAATTTTATTAAAAAATACATTTATTTCTCTAAATACCGCTTAAAGAACATACCTGTATTCGGAAATGAAATATTATTATATTAATTATATCAAATCTGTATGATGATTTTTTTTTTTAATGTGGTATAACATTTTTTTTTTAATTTAATACTTAAAATAGAACTAACATTGTTCATAACTAAAATTAAAAATTAATTTAAACAGCATACCTAACATCCGAGGATAAATTTATTTATTTAAAGGTAGTCTCAGAAATAGTCTCTCCTGCAGCTCGGTATATTAAAAAAAAACTAAATAAATCTAGTGTTGGTAACTTAGATAAGCCATGTTTTAATTAAAAACCGACCACACAAATTGATAAATTCCACCTACCGCGTAGGAATATTAATACTAAAATATTCTGAGGAACAATAGTAAAAACATTATACATTATTTAATTTTATAAAAGTTCTGAAATCATATTTTACGTTTATAAAAATGTGTATTTGCTTCTCAAGCTTTCTATTGGATGATTTAGAGGTGGATAAAAAATGTGAGATATGTTGAAGCTAAATTATCTAAACATAATGAAATTTTAGACTTAGCACATGGAGGCAATATAGTTTCTCGTTGGCTTTATTTTGTTTCTGAACTTTAAAGACAATAAAAACAGTATATATATATATGAATTTTCAATTTTCTGTTAAGGAACGTTTTTATTTATCTAAACACTTTTGATTGAGGAACATTAGAAGCTTTATAAATTAATTTATCACTAAAAGCTGCAAAAACTAACTATTAAGGATGCTACAATATTTAATTAATAATTTAATATTTAATTAATTATTAATAGTCTTTTATATCTGGTCTGGTTAAAATGACGAAGTGAACCTAGTACAGGTTGTCATGCCTTCCAATTAATACAGTAATGAAAAAAATTAAGGAATTGACTTAAAAGATGCCAAATCTTTAATAAATTATAATGTCAAGATCTATATTATTATTATATTAAAATATTAGGGGGGTTCTCCCATTTTACAAATTGTACAACTGTTTATTTAATTGTAATGCTCGTTGCTCAAATTGTAATTTACAGATATTCTGTAGTTCGGATTATATTATTTTGTAACACCATAAAATAAACAGAACAAAACCACAGTTCGGAAATTTTTTTAATTTCTTTAAAAATCTATATTATACTTGCCTTATTACCAATTTATATTATTATGTAACATAAAGGAGAAATAATTGTGAAAATAAGAAGTGTGTTATCTTCGTTACGGTCCGTACCGCTGTTTTGTAAATGTAAAATTATATATTACACGGTCACTAAAAACTTATATTAATATATATATTAGAGAGATTTAAAACAAGAATATGTGTAAATAATGTTTTAATTTTTATTGTTCATGATTATAGAATTAATGTTCTGAAGGGTAGTGTTACACTGAAACGTTAACAAGGAATTTTAAATAATAAAATATATGGAGTCATTAATGGGTGGTATTTATAAAGGAAGGAGATAGTTTGGGGTGACGGTCATAGATACGCTAAATTGTGGCAAAACCATTTTATTAAAAGCCAACGTTTCGACTCGACTTTACAGGTCTTCTTCAGGGAGGTGTGCTCAGCTAGGAGTTTCCTTTTGAAATTTAATAATGAATGTCGTAAATTGGATTTTAATGAGGGGACAACATGAAAATTATTAAACCGGTACTCGATACATTTGGGGAAGATTTGGTTTGATCTGCATTTTATGAGAAAAATCCGTTGCTCATTTTTTATAGTGAGCTGTTTGTGGAGGTTGCAAAAATTGTTAAATTTGGATTTATATGATAGAAATTTCGTTTTAAGAAAATTGAAGATACCTAGACAACTGGGTTCGGTGTAGTCAATGTGATGCCTCCTATTTGGAATACCAGGAGATGAGGGTGAAGAAGACGGAGTAGGCGGATGATGTGAAGATATCTGTGGCAAGTCTGAGATGTGGTGATGTTGGGGTAAAGTCTGCGGTGAGGATCTGTTGTTACCTTGGAGTCTAGAACTGCGGCGAAGAGGTGCTGAGTTTCCAAAAACTCCTAGCTGGATATAGCTCCCTGAAGAAGACCTGCAAAATCGGGTCGAAACGTTGACTTTTAATAAAATAGTTTTGCCACTATTTAGCCTATTTATGACCATCTCCTTCCTTTATAATGCAACGGTCAACTATTAAATATTCAAGATGATATTTATAATTGTCAAATGACCCTAGATTTATGAATTATATTCTTATCTTTGAATATTTAAAAACAAGGTATTAAGGGTGCTATACATTAGTAGTTCCTCTACCCTCATTTTAATGTTCCTTAATAAAAGAATACTTTTATGAAACTCAATGAAAGAAGACTTCCAGCCAATTGGATTCTTTTAAACATTGGAAAAACATATTTAAGTATCGAATGAAAAACAAGTAATTGAAGTAGGTAAAGAGATTATTTCAATTAACAATAACGTTATTATTTTATAGGACCGTCTCTGAAATCAAATGGCCTCCAAGCAATCTTTTTTCATTGATTTTCATAGAAGTATTTCTTTTTGAAGTGGAGTTACAGAAATGCATGCCACCCTGAGCCCTTCAAATAAAAACTAAAAAATAATCAACGATTAGGCGACGAATAAAAATATTAGACCTCATTACTGGAGATCAGATTTGAAATCTCATTTAGAACATACGTCATTAAAAAGATATTCAAAATATACATACATATATTGTCTCTTTTTTTTTTTATTGGAACATCCTTTAGAGCATTCATGGTCCGGATCAAATTTGCAAGAGTTTAATATTTTAATTTAAAAAATAATTCTATGCCAACTTGACTTTTTAAAATAATGTTGCTTTGTCAGATATTCGAGGGGTTCTGAAGAATTTTGAAAGAACATTTTCTCCTTTGTGCTCCCAAGAGCCCCCTCCCTTAGAACTATTTTCATGCAAATATTCGGGCTTTTCCTTCCGAAATGCTGAAAAAAGAGACGAGTTATTCTATATCTTTATTGCTTCTCGATGGCGCGAGAAATATCACCATAACGGAACGCGAGAAAATGGATTTAGAGAAAATCCCCCCGAAAAATTTGTGTCATATGCATACATTGTGGTAAACTACATACAAGTATATCTGTAATATATGTTATTATCATTACAATCCGATATTTTTAAATTAGTAGAAGCACACACCTTGAAGTTGGTAATCCACAGATGTCTGGCAATAGGATATTAAGGTACATATATTACAATATTTCAACAGTGTCATATGATCTCCCTTAATCGCCCCTTATTAGCATTTTTGTTTTTCAAATTTTACATTTACAAGTTTTTTTGTGTGTTTTTTTTAATTTAGAAATATAATAATCTGTCTCGTGGACAATAATTATAGTGATATATGAACACATTCACATCATATATACAGAAAATATTACTTTAACAAAAGTAAAATGATAATCAAAAACTATGTAAAATAAAAAATATAATAACCTAAAGTAAATTAAAAAACATTTTTATGTTACACAGTCATATACATAATTGTATATACAATTAGGCAGGGAATCCCAAGCCAGGATTCTCCCTCCAACTATAGAAGGAAAAGCAGGACTCCAAGAGATCCCTGTGCTACTCTCTCAACCGCGTCACTGGTGCTAAAGCCAGTGGGACATTTACAAATTAAACAAATAAATACGTCTACTAAATTTTTCGCAGCGTAACTCCCGTTTCGATCCTCGACTTACTGACCTTATATTTTTACTAACTACAACTTTGAAATGGTAGGCAAGATCAGGAAGTTCAAAAAGTTTGAAAAATATACACTTTATGCCGTGATGTATATAATAATGAAAGAAGAGAAGGGATTTTTGATGATTATTGCCATTGCTTTTAGATTTAAAACTATCAAAATATGAAAATTTTCCGATCACCTTTATACACTTCTCTTCACCTGTGGATTATGAGCCCTATACCCAACCCCCACCCTGAAGAATCAAGAGCTATATTGTATGACATAGGAGTCTCTCACCTCCCATCGAATCTCTGGGTTAGGAAGTCCCCGTGCGGGAATCGAACCCGCACCTTATTGGTCTAAGTAAGCGAGTAGGACCTGCACTTTTGTTATTAAATTGAATACTTGATATAAAATTTTTGCAGTCGCCTTAAATCGGCCACCGGGGCCCCTAAAAAATGTGACAGCCTTTGGCAGTTTTTCGAAGGAATTTAGATTGGAAGGATTGGATGCGTTTGATGTTAAAAAAATTGTCCCCCATGGTTCTAATCTGTGAATACAGGTAGGTTTCAGGATTCTCTTGTGGATCAGTTACTGTTTCCAATAGATAGATGTGATCTTCTATTCATCACTCTATAAAGCGGTCCATAACGTCGATTTATAGAGTCGATTTATAAGCTCTTGTCTTTTAAGCCTAGTATGAAGTTCCCCTAAAAATTAAATTAACATAAACTTTAATAAATGAATATTTATTCAAAACTATGTTTCTCATTCTTCATGTCCTCCTGTTGTTTGGTTCTTCATATATTATAAAATCATTGGTAGTCTTTTTTGATGGTCGACTATTGGTAGGTATGTCAAGTATTGTTAGTCACATACCTTGTTGCTTTTTCAAAATTTTATGCTTGTAAAATTTGATAATTCTCGATTGTTTTGGTGGCAAATTTGTGAAAAATGTTAATAATATTTTAATAATTAAAATATTTTCTCTTTAACAATATTATTGAAGCCATAATGGCGGCCCTGCGATAGACAGGTTGAACAAGTCTTACTGGTCCGTAATGGATGGCCCTCTAGTGTCCAAACATGGTATTAATTATGTTAATGCCCTTTGGCGGCCTGCGAGGCGGGATGAGCTCACCAATGATTTAAATTATGTAAATAGTTCTTCGATGATTCAGCAGGAAAGTTATTTTTCCTTTTAATTTGCACAAAGAAAAAAATATTGTATTCAAGAAGAAAAACATCTGAGGGAGAGATTTTTGTCACATGTATTCAATAATAAACCTTCGACGAATAAAAAACGATAAAATTCCCCTAAACATTTGGAATTTTACATTCCAAGAAAAGGGCAGAACACTGGACTACCCCAAAACGCGTGATAAGCAAAAGGGCAGCCTCAAAAATCAGGTCTCTAAGAAGAATAATAGGACAAATAAAGAAGAACTGCATAAGAAATGAAGTCTTCAGAGAGGTAAACGTCATGTCACTGAAGAAAAAACGCTGCAAATTATTTCACAATGGTTTATTATTTCCAAACAATTATACATCTAAAATAACATTACCTTTCTAGTTACAAAGAAAAATAAAATAAGGTGATTCCAATTATTGGACTAAACTTTTTTTTTAATCATTAGTAATATGCTAAAAAAAAATAGCATTACTTCAGTAACACATTCAAAAACCAAACAAAGGATATAAAATTTAGAGTAGAACATATTTAAAAAAAAATCCGGAGACCATATCTTAGCTCCTAATAGTCCGATTTTAACGATTCTTTTTTGTTTTGTTTTTTATGAAATTTCGTAGTCTTTTAAAAAACCATGAATCAGTACATTCGTTTAGGAGCTACAGTCTATAGCAAGGCAGACTTTTCGCCCGCTATTTTGAAAGTAAAAGGCGAATAGTAATGTCGATGAAGGAGGATCATCCTCGGATCACCTCTGATTTTATACCAAAATTTGAAAAAAATTGGTCCAGTAGTTTCGAGGAATATACGCGGACGGCGTACGACGGACGGACAAAAAAAAATTATTCGTTTTTCGAATTTTACGCATCTTGAATGGTGAAACCTCAAATTTTGAGAGGGGGTTAAGTTTTTGAATTTTTTGGTGGATCACAATGGTTGATTATTGAAAATAAAAAAACAAAATGTAAGAGTGTCAACTGCGCTGGTTTGGACATGGATACAGATACCCCCATAACAAAAAAATAAATGTATCATAGAAGCCATTTGAGAAACGACAAGTGGGCAAAACTGGAACTGCATACATGGAATATTTGGAGGACTTTAAAGGAAGAGAGGAAAATCATTTGTCCAGAAGTTGTACATGCAGAGGGATGAGTGCAAACGTTGGACTGAGGCTGGGTTTCAAGAGGAAGGTTTGTTTTCTGTGTAGAAATCTATCATAAAAGATTTGGAACAGTTCTTCAAAGTTTTGTTATGTTAATGCGGATTTCTCGTTTTTCAGCCTTTTTTTTTAATGTTTGGGTTCATTACGATCCTCAAAAATAAACGCATAGCGTTGAAAATCTCTATGTAAATTATGCCAGAGTTGGGAAAGTGGCTTTTTGCATAAAATATAAAATGTTGAAAAACATTTAATGAGCCTTTCAGTTGACCGAATGACTAACAGAAATTTCAACATTTTTGATTGAAGTCTTTTCAGTGATATTTCTAATTGGAATATTTATATCTGTACATGCAATGGGTAAGTTGATTCCAAAGAGTAGGAGAGTAGGTGATTGCAGTGTTAGCATATAGAACTGTGAATAAAGGTATAAATTTTTCCACAAGAAATATCACTGAAATTAATCCTAAAAAATGTTGAAATTGAATTCTGTCTACTGAAAGGCTCAAATAGGAAAATTTTCAGCAGTTAAATTGATATTTAAATTCTATTTAATTACCACACAGGCAAGCATTAATGAAACAAAGATAACAAAGATGAATTAATACAAAATAAAATACATTCTACATTCTATTACCAAATATATATATATATATATGTATAACCTTAAAAAAATCTGTACCACTACAACCCATGAAGGGTCTTGGGTGAAGTACTATGTGAGGAAGTACTGTTTCAAGTCCACAGAGATGATGGGGCCGAAATCGCAAGGTTTTCCTCTTAATTTTTTTTTAAATTAAGGGTATCTACTTTATAGAGGCTGGGTGTGCCCCAGGATCGATCCACGGCTAATGACAAATTACTAGTTATTGGCCGGATTCGAACCTTCGGATTCGGACCTTAAGCTCTGGAAGTCATTGTTCACCCACTGAGCTACCCCACTCCCATATATATTACAAAATTTATCCGATCGACATTGAGTATTATATTTTAACAGAATTTAAATTTGTCACTAAATTATAATTCTTAAAATAAATAAAATTAAATTAAAAATTATTCGTTGATCGTGTTGTTTATTCGATTTTTCGATTCCCTCTTTTATGCTAACTATTGAATCATAATATATTGACCACACTGCGGTGGCTCTCACACTATCCAATCATATTTTCCAAGAATGTCCTTATTATACCTCAAGCTAAAATAGATTATCTCTAAAACCAGATATATCAATAGTATTAAACAATGACAAATCAAACGTGTAAACAGTAATACATTTTCCTAAAATCCATAGAAAATATAATTTTTATTTAATTTGTTTTGTTTTTTTATTTATTTTAATATATTTCTTTTTTTTATGTTTTTAAATTTTATTTTTTCTCATTTATTATTCTATTTATCTGTTGTTAATTCTTTATTATCCATTCTTATTTCCTCTACACTATAATCACCGACTCACAGGCGTTGATGACCCTAGGGTTTTACGCCTTAAAGCCCATCAAACAATAATATATTGATTGACCTAATTCTCAATTTTAATTAATTATGTATATATATATATATATATACATACCTCCCTGAAATCCTTCCGGTACTCCTTTTCATCTACAATTTTTCCCTTCAAAATTCAGTATTCCCTTCCTTGTGGAAAAAAGCCACAGTCCGTCCTTTAAATAAAAATTCTAATCCGTCTTCCCCTGAAGATTTCCGGCCAATCTCAATCCTTTCTAACCTTTCCAAACCCCTGGAGAGAATTGTGCAATCCCAAGTTTCCACCTTCCTTGAACAGCCCAATCAACTTGACCTCTACCAATCTGGTTTCCGACCAGGTTATTCCACACAATCCGCCCTAATCAAAATCATTAATGATGTTCAGTCCGCCATTGATGACAAAAAACTAACCGTCCTTATACTCATTGCCTTTCCAAAGCCTTTGATTCCATCAACCACTCCATTCTCTTTTCCAAATTAAAATCATTATCCTTTTCCCATAGTTCTATCCTATGGTTTCAATCATTCCTTTCCCAACGCTCACAAGCTGTCGCTATTCCTAATCAACCCTTGTCTTCCTATCTTACTTTGTCCGCAGGAGTGGCCCAGGGCTCTAGCATATCTCCCCTCCTTTTTAGTTCTTATATCAATGACATCCATAATTCAATCCTTCACTGCTCCCATCACCTTTACGCCGATGACTCCCAAATCTACCTTTCCTTCCATCCCTCAGAGTTGCATGAAGCGTTTGCCAAAATTCAAGAAGACTTGAATCGGATCAGTGCCTGGGCAAACTTAAATGGGTTAAGGTTAAACGCTGCAAAAACTCAAGCCATTGTCATTGGTTCCAAACCCCTTCTCAGAGCCAATACCAACATACCTATACTGTACCTAAATGACCATCCCATTACCTTCACCTCCTCAGTAAAAAACCTAGGCATTTTCATAGACCAAACCCTATCCTGGAAACACCATATTGCTCACATTACCCGACAGTCAATTGGTACCTTGAAACTATTCCATCGCTTCCGCCATCTCCTACCCATCTCCACACGTAGACTCCTAGTAACTTCCCTCATCTTCCCCCACCTTGATTACGGCTGCGTGGTGTACGGTGGCCTCTCGGCAGAACTCGGGGAGAGACTGAAAAGAATTATGAATGCCTTCGTAAGATTTGTCACAGGGGCCCTGAGGTATTCCCGTGTTTCGCACCACTATGCTGAATTAGGATGGCTCTTCCCTTCCTTCCGAAGACAATATTTCCTAGGCACATTCCTTTACCAAATAATCAATAGTCATCGTCCGTCCTACGCATACAATCTCCTACAATTCAAATCATCTATCCACACCCTCTCCACAAGATCTCGTCCTTCTGACCTTTACACTCCTTTCCACAGATCTGCATCATTTAAACATTCCTTCGTTGTCCGTTCCACTGCATTCTGGAATTCCATCCCACTAAAAATCCGCCATGCATCATCCTTATCCACCTTTAAAACCCTCTTATTCCAATTCCTCTTCACAATCCAATCAGACGCTGGTTAAATACATACTATGTTATAAGGATTTAATTTTCTTTAGACATTATTTTTTTTCTCTTATTTTTTATTGTTTTATTCTGTGTTGAACGTGAATTTTCATCACCACTCACTAAGCATTGTGAGTAGATAAAATTTGTTTTCCTTAAGTTCTAATTTGTTATTCATGGAATGTATTTCAGTGAAATGTATTTTATTTCTAATTATCTTCAACATACTTCTCGCTATGTGTATATATATACTTTATTTTATTTTCTCTTCTCCTAATCTTTACGCATAATCACTTAAATATCTTAGGGAACATATGTATATCATTATTTGTTTTTTTATATATTTTTTTGTTTTAGTTTTTACAATTTCTTTCCCTACATATTAACAGTTATTATTATTTTTTTAAATTTTTATATTCCATCACTACAATGCTTTACCTATAAAATAGATTTTACTTTCCTTTATAATTTCATTCAGTGATTATTATGCAATTATTTTAGCTCCAATATTGTAGTACTGAACCCCTATTACCAAACTGTCCTCGTTAATTTATCCTAAGAGCTTAATTAATACTTAATGTATTACATGTATTTTGTCATTATTCATTGTAATAAGTCTTTTGACCAGATTTGTAGCTAATATATATGAACAATACTGTTATTCTAAAGGGACCTAGTCCCAGAATAAAGATGATTTTTCTATTTATATATATATATAAATAGAAATGTTATTTCTTAAATGTTAGTTAATTCTTTAACCACGCAACAACTGATTTAGTTACTTCTTTATCTACCAGACTATCCTTTTTTACATTTACTATAAGGTTTATTTTTTTCACTATTTCTAATATATTTTGTTTTCTTTTTTCAGTTCTTCCAGCGGTCGGACCTACTATTTCTGGTGCAGCACCACGCTACGCACCGGGTGACCAAGTGAACCTCGTATGTGCGTCCGGACCTGCACATCCCACGCCATCTCTCGCCTGGTATATCAACGGCAGTCCGGTAAGATTTAGTTATTTTATCATTATAAATTTTAATTTCTTTGAATGGGAGCGTAAGATCGTCATTTAATCAGTGCTGTATTTCAGTCAAAACTCATTACAAGAAATTTTTAAAGTAAATAATGTGCCATTGATTACTTTATTTTCAATTGTATTTCACCCTATTTTTACTAAAATGTTAATTAAAATATTTTGCTAAAAATGAGAGTAAACTGTAAACATACGGTTTATTTAATATGGTAGTAAAACACATACGAGGAAGTACAAAGTTTTCTATAGGCGTGCTATTTAGCCAAATAATATTTATAATAAAGACAATTGTAATGGATTGAAAAAATTCGTAGGAGAATATATTATAACGTATTTTAAAAATAAAAAAATTAATTGAAAATTATAATGACTCCGTCCTGACAATTCATCACCCATGATATTTAGAACAGTCAAATATCAAATACATTCAAATATCAGAACAGTCAAAAATATTTAATACATTCAATTGCTTTGTTAGCCCGTCTTCAAATATACCCATCCGTAAAAAAAAAAAAAAAAAAAAAACACTAATATTTATTCCTGTGTTTAACAGATATATAAATTTATTATTATACATAGTATTATATTTTTCTTTTTGCAATCATTATGTTAATTAACACTAATAATTTTTACAAATAGTATGAATTTCTGGTAATATTAGACTTTTTTTTGGGAGGCATGTCCATCGCAGCTCCTGTGTAAAAAAAAAAAAAACTGGTGCGCGCAACACACAACTTTCATTTACTCTTTGAACTTTGAATAAAAATTATTTTCTGCCCATGTTAGGCTATTATAAAATGTTTTAAATTGCATTTAAAAAAAAAAAAAATAGCATTACCTTATTAACACATTCAAAATTCAAAACCGAAACAAAGGATATAACCATTGCAGCAGAACGTATTAAAAAAAAACTAGAGACCATATCTTATCTCCTAATTATCCGATTTTAGCGATTTTTTTTTTTGTTTTTTAGGCTATTCCATAAACTTTTAGAAAACCATATACAACATTCCCAAAAAAGTGTATACTTTTTGAGTTATTCGGAATTTAATTTTACCATCCCTCGTAACTTTTTTTCAGCTTCTTTTCGCTGATGAATGTTATATAGATAAATTTGAAGGGTGTCGAGAAAATGATTTTAGCGAAGTTTCAATGAAATCGGTACATTCGTTTAGGCGCTACAGTCTATAGCTACGTTTTTCTGCATTTTTATTTTTTTTCTCCTTTATTAACTTATCAAATTCTTTCAAAAGTTATATTTAGCATTTTTTCGTAACTCTGAATAATGCAAAATAATTATCTTTTTAAAATAAACCATATTAAAGGTACTTTAGAGGAAGACGTATATGAACATTGGGCATTTAAGCCCTGTAAAGTGACATCAATGGGGATAAGACCTAATTTATATTAAAGACCACTTAATTATACAATGATACACCGAGTTTAATCAAAATCGTTAGAGCCGTTTTTGAGAAAACTGTGAAAATGTGTTTCAGCGTTGATATAAAGTGGCACTTCCGGTTAGCCGATTTTAAGGAAAAAGTTGCCGTCACAACTGAGGCATATACCTATCTTAAATACGTGATATCAGTTTCATAGGACTTTTCGTTTTTGAGCTAGACTGCTAACATACAAACACACAGACACACAGACCATTTGTCGGGACTTGGTCATTTCGACTCAGGGTACCTCAAAACGTATAAATCCGTCGAAAACTCAGATTCAAAAATTTTCTCGATCGCAATACTTACACTTACTATATATTACATATATACGTAAGTGAAAGTAAAAAAGATAAACTTTATGACAAAAATATTATTATCCCCCCTTTATCATTAAACTCTCTTCTTTCAATATTATTTCATCCTCAAGAAGTATTCCTAACATGCTTTAAAATGAAACGTAAAAAAAAAATAGTACACAGTATCATATTTATGAAACAATTTTTTATTTTTTTTTTAAACGTGTTTATTGAAAAATATTACAATCTGTCTCAAAGGTCATTTATAATAGTGTTCAGAGATCACATTCACACTCCATGTACAATAAATAAAAATAAATTGTACAAAAAATAATATATATATATATATATATATATATATATATATATATATATATATATATATATATATACAATAAATAAGAATAAAATAACCTAAAAATAAATAAATAAAAAGAACACATACTTATATACACTATTTACAATCAGACGAGTGAACTCCGAGCCAGACTTGTCTTTCCAATTGCGGAGGGAAAAGTATGACTTCCGAAGATTCCTGTACTTCTCTCTCAACCGCGTCACTGGGGCTGAACAAAGTGAAGATTGAGCGAGAGCATTGGAAACAAATTTACTATTGAACTCGTATATATATATTATATTTCCGAAATATATCGAAGTTTATTTAGTTTTTTTTTGGGGGGGGGGCGATAAAGGGAAGCCCAGATTGTTTATTTTTCTTAATTAGGTCTATTTTCATTAATTAGTATTTACCGAGACAATTTTTCAATGGAAGCCTTGAGGACTAAGAAGATTTGTAAGAAGAAAAAAATTGAGTAGTTGTTTTTTATCCCGAGGCCGAAAGTGGGGCGAAGAACACTAAAAGAAATAGCTCAGGCCGTGAGTGATGGGGCTGCCCCTCAGGCACCCAATGTCTTCAGTAACCCTGAGGAAAAAAAAAAAAACCAAATGAAATGTCACAGTCATGTAAGTAGCAATTGTAATGTATTGATTTTCAATTTTGATGGCAGGGGGAGAGAATGAATGATGAACAAAATATACTTTTCGTAAAAATTGTTGTATGTGTATATATATTTGGTTTAATGTTTCTCTTGTACATATAGGCGATTACTTTCCATTCTGGTTGAGGGAGTTATAGATCCCAAAAAAAAAAAAATTCGAGAATATATAAATTATGAGTGATAATCAACATAATTATTGTAAAACGAGCAATATAATCTGTATATAAAAATAAATATAAATATTAGTTTATTTTTTTCATGTAGGTATATTTGAAAATATGTTAACAAAACAAGTGAATATATTACATTTTACTATTTTAAAATTTGAGGCAGTGAGATGAACTCCGATGGTTCAAATTTGCTTAAGGAAATTTGATGAAATCTTTACGTGAAAATGTAAGAGTGCACATAAATAAATCATAAAATCCTGGGAAATATTGCTACATATAATTATCTTTCAAAACAAAATTTCAATGATATTAACTAGGGCGTAGTAAAATATTTGCATGCCTACTTCCAGGCCGGGGTGCTGTAATTTTAACACCACCTGACACACTAGCGGATCCAGGATTTAATTTTGTTGGGGGCTTCAACCCGAAGGATTTTCTTTTCACATTTATATAACGATAATTGATTTGAAAGTAAAAAGAAAGTAACTAACGTATATCATATGACATGGTGTCTTAGTGCTCCTTGAAGTCCTATTAAATGTAATTACACAAACAATAATAGTTTTAGAGATAGTTTTTGATATTTTTTTCTATAAAACATGGTTATATTTTACCATTTTGGGGGCGAGGCTTCAGCCCGAAAGCCCCTCCTTCCCCGTAAATCCGCCTCTGACGTGACACAAGTCTTTCACTCAAAAATGAAATAGCTCTTGGCTGGCAATCCATGTGGAACGATAGCCCATCGAGCAAATTATCTAGCAGAAGAAAATTTAAAAAATCAGTAAAACCATGGTCCACTTAGAACCGCCCTATTCGTAAAGAAAATGTTGGCTTAACCAGTGTAGGGATAATACATACAAATCTTATCTGATTAGTAAACAGCCTACACCAAAATGCCAACACTGTTACACTACTCTTACAGTCAGCCACATTCTTCAGAAGTTTCCTTATTAAATATCAATTTTAACCAAATTAGGACTTATATCAAAACTATCAGTTATTTTAAAATAATGATGAAATTAAAATAATGTCGGTAATAAATTTTATTTAAGTTCATAAGTTGTTAAACAATTTTTTTTTCTAAGCGTTGATGACCTCGGTACTCTACGCCTATAAGCCCTAAATAACAATTTGTGTGCCTACCATTTTCTTAATTGATTTTAGTTAACATATTTATATGGATAAATTGTATTAATGATTGACCAACGGTCGGAAACAGACCCGCATTTAACAGACTCAAACAGAGCTTTATTCTTCCATTCAAAGGTATTGAAATCCCGAAAAATCTTAAGAATACTCAAATTGAGGATGTACAATGCATTGATAAAATCAGCTCTCATATATGGCTGTTAGACCTGGACACTAAACAGCGCTCTAGAGAAAAGTATTAAGAAGATTAAAAAGGAGAAAAATCTTCCTCAAGATAACAAGAGCTATCTAGGATCAGGGTACTAACTAAGAAGAAAGACCAATAAAGAGCTGCTTACAGAAACTATTAAATTAATATTTCATGATATGAAGCCCTGAAGGTTAAGATGGGTGGGACATATAGCTCGAAGCGATTCATCTGGAAGCCTCTACACAACGACGAAGCCTGGATAGAAGGCAAAAGAAAGCCAAAAATCAGATGGATAGATAGAATCAACAAAGATGCAATAGAGCTGCACGCAGATAACTGGATAGAAGATAGGAAGGATTGGGGTAAGCTTCTTAAAGCAACAAAATATCTCCAAGGTATGTAATGCCAAAAAAGAAAAAGAAAAAAGATTAATTGTTATTTATTTCGATTTTATTATTCAATTAACGAAGGAAGCTAGAGGATTGTTCTACATATCATGGTTGATAAATATTCAGGACGCAGTCATTATAATTTTTTTTTTACTAGTGCCGACGTTTCAACCCAAACATGTGGGTCATCATCAGGGCGTGGTTCGAGCAATGGTTTTCGAGTACTGACGAAATCCTGATCTACCTGATCAGTACTTGTAAACCTTCAGTGAAAAGCTTTAATGACTGCGTCCTAAATACTAATCACCCACGATTTTTTTTATTGTTCTTCAAA